AGAAGATCAGGACAGGCATGCTTCGTGCAGAGTGGCATGCCTCGCTGCGAAGGACACCGGTGAGGAGTATTGTCTGGATTTTTTCACCAGGGCTCGCCGGTGTGTTGCGAAATGAACAGACAGACAGACTGGCTGGCTCTGCACAGCTTGGTGGAATACTGATGCATGATAAGGCAGACGTGGTTAGTGCCTTGTACAGCGTGTAAAGTTCAGAGGAGCAGATGGATAACCACAGTCTGGTAAGACTGATGCAGGGGGAAGTGACGAGAGGTTCTGATGCTCGAGGCTCAGAGGAAAGGCAAGACGGAAGTTTAATCAGAATGCTACTGGCACCATTAGTATCGGTACTCCGCTGAAGATGGGGACGGAGCGATTATGTTATGTCGGTTTTTTAATCAAATCAAATCAAATCAATATTCAGTTCTAGAAGTATGGATGCATTTGTTCTTTTATACCAATGCTATTTTTAGAACCCGTCTACAACATTTGTATTCAAAGGCATTTATGTGCTGTTACATCTTGTTAGTAAGTGTCCAGGTATGTTGCAATGGGAAAGATGCATGCTCTTATAAATTTAATTTGTGTAGTTCTTTCTGTCCTACTCAATAATTTATTCAGTTGTTTTAGTCTCTGAAAAGCAATTGATAATTTCTTTCATTGTGTCACTATTGTTGGTAATCAAGGACCCAGGATATTAAAAATTGAAAACAACCTCCAATCTTTCCTCATAAACATATAATAATGCAAATGAGGAGGAACATACCTTGTCGCCATGTCGGAAGCAATTTTTCGTTATTTGAAGTCCCAACCTGGCTTTTGCTGGGAGCCCTGAATATAGCCGGGTCATAAATATGGCCTAACGGCTGAAAGGGGTTTCTGGGACCTCTCCACTGGTTTATCGCTTGTGTTATGTCTTGGTGGGGTACAGCAAGAGATAGATAGATAGAGAGAGAGAGAGAGAGAGAGAGAGAGAGTGAGAGAGAGAGAGAGTGAGAGAGAGAGAGAGAGAGAGAGAGAGAGAGAGAGAGAGAGAGAGAGAGAGAGAGAATACCTGTTAAACCAAGGTGTAAAAAGTATAATATTGTTTGGTATTAAAACAATGAATTGTTAGGTACGCAAATAATCAGGTGAGTTGCAAGACTTATCTTCAAGGTTTTGTGAATTTTCTTAATTCAAATCTAAAAGTCAAGAACTGCGAACACTTTCAGCAGTGGATATTGTTCAGCCTGAACGGCGCTGCTGGATGCTGAATATAACAAATTAAAAGTCCAGCCTCATGGTTACACATCACGTATGTAGCATACATGACACCAGAGGCGGATCCTAGGTAACATTTGTGAGGAGGCATGCGTTCGGAAATGGTATACCCTATAACCGTATGTACAACTTTTTATCACAACACATACACACAACAGCCAGACACCGTGTCACTGCAGCTGTGATCTGTACAGTACTAAACAAGAATTTCTCAATTATTATTTTTTGTCTGTACATGGCATAAAGGCTAGCTACTGACATTAGGCAGAAAAATGATACAATCTGCAAGTATAAATAAAACTATACGGAATGTTATCTCTTCTTCCCCCTTGTAGTTCACTTGCTGTAAGCCCTGGCGGAAAGTTCTAGCTGTCTGACCACTTCTGAACTTTATTATTTCTCCATAAGGTGAGTTTTGTATTCACATTCGTTTCACAGATATGGCTTTTTTGTACGTAGACTTTTGGTTCCTCTCATGTACATGCACTCCGACTTAGTTAGTTAGCATCTACGTCACGCTTTTCTAAAGGGTCAGGAGGTCTACTCTCTCCCCCTATCCTCACCGCCATGGGGCACTGGAACCCACACGGGAATAGGAATGTTATTGATAATATCCAGGGTAAATAGGGGGTGCTGCTGTTCTGCAGTGCCCATGGAGGAGCCGCCATTGTTTGACAGAAGAGGCATATGCCAGTAATTGGTTGTAGAAGTACAATTTTTTCACGGGTTAATGGACAAGGTCACGGGGAGAGGGGAAATGCATGGTCACGTTCATGATACAAAATAATTGCTTAAGCAGTCGCGGTGCAGTAGTGGTAATTGATGGATGGATGTCTGGATGGGGGATAGATGTATGAATGTTTGGATGGGTGATAACAGGTGGATGTTGGGATGGGTGATAGATGGATGAAGGTTTGGATGGGTGATAAACAGGTGGATGTTGGGATGGGTGATAGATGGATGAAGGTTTGGATGGGTTATAAACAGGTGGATGTTGGGATGGGTGATAAATGGATGAAGGTTTGGATGGGTGATAAACAGGTGGATGTTTGGATGGGTGATAGATGTATGAAGGTTTGGATGGGTGATAAACGGATGAATGTTTGCATGGGTGATAGATGGATGAATGTTTGGATGGGTGATAAACAGGTGGATGTTTGGATGGGTGATAGATGAACGGATGTCTCGATGGGGATAGATGGATGGATGTCTCGATAGGGGATAGATGGATAGATGTCTGGGTGGGTGATAGATGGATAGAGTCTGAATATGGGATAAATGTCAAGATGCGTGACATAATGATGGATGTTCGGATGGGGGATAGATGGACGTCTGGATGGGGAATAGATCGGTGGATGTCTGGATATGGGATATATGTCCAGATGCGTGAAAGAATGATGGATGCCTGGATGGCGGATAGATGGATGTCTGGATGGGGGAAGATGTCTGGATGGGAGAAGATGTCTGGATGTCTGGATGGGGGAAGATGTTTGCATGGGGGAAGATGTCTGGATGTCTGGATGGGGGAAGATGTCTGGATGTCTGGATGGGTGATAGATGGATGGAGTCTGGATATGGGATAGATGTTCAGATGCGTGATAGAATGATGGATGTCTGGATGGCAGATAGATGGATGTCTGGATGGGGAATAGATGGATGGATGTCTGGATAGGGAATATATGTATGGGTGGGCCGGGAGGGGAGGGGTAAGGGCGGACGGAAGTACCGATAGATACATTGAAAAAAAAAAAGATAAATAGACAGAGAGACATAGCTGGGCGGTCAGTTAAACAGATAAGTGAGAATTGATGGATGGATGGATGGATGGATGGATGGATGGATAGATAGATGGATAGATAGATAGATGAATAAATAGATAGATAAATAGATAGACAGACAGACAGACAGACAGACAGACAGACAGACAGACAGACCGGTCGGTCGGTCGGTCGGTCGGTCGGTCGGTCGGTCGGTCGGTCGGTCGGTCGGTCGGTCGGTCGGTCGGTCGGTCGGTCGGTCGGTCGGTCGGTCGGTCGGTCGGTCGGTCGGTCGGTCGGTCGGTCGGTCGGTCGGTCGGTCGGTCGGTCGGTCGGTCGGTCGGTCGGTCGGTCGGTCGGTCGGTCGGTCGGTCGGTCGGTCGGTCGGTCGGTCGGTCGGTCGGTCGGTCGGTCGGTCGGTCGGTCGGTCGGTCGTCGGTCGGTCGGTCGGTCGGTCGGTCGGTCGGTCGGTCGGTCGGTCGGTCGGTCGGTCGGTCGGTCGGTCGGTCGGTCGCTCGGTCGCTAGATAGATAGATAGATAGATAGATAGATAGATAGATAGATAGATAGATAGATAGATAGATAGATAGATAGATAGATAGATAGATAGATAGATAGATAGATAGATAGATAGATAGATAGATAGATAGATAGATAGATAGATAGATAGATAGATAGATAGATAGATAGATAGATAGATAGATAGATAGATAGATAGATAGATAGATAGATAGATAGATAGATAGATAGATAGATAGATAGATAGATAGATAGATAGATAGATAGATAGATAGATAGATAGATAGATAGATAGATAGATAGATAGATAGATAGATAGATAGATAGATAGATAGATAGATAGATAGATAGATAGATAGATAGATAGATAGATAGATAGATAGATAGATAGATAGATAGATAGATAGATAGATAGATAGATAGATAGATAGATAGATAGATAGATAGATAGATAGATAGATAGATAGATAGATAGATAGATAGATAGATAGATAGATAGATAGATAGATAGATAGATAGATAGATAGATAGATAGATAGATAGATAGATAGATAGATAGATAGATAGATAGATAGATAGATAGATAGATAGATAGATAGATAGATAGATAGATAGATAGATAGATAGATAGATAGATAGATAGATAGATAGATAGATAGATAGATAGATAGATAGATAGATAGATAGATAGATAGATAGATAGATAGATAGATAGATAGATAGATAGATAGATAGATAGATAGATAGATAGATAGATAGATAGATAGATAGATAGATAGATAGATAGATAGATAGATAGATAGATAGATAGATAGATAGATAGATAGATAGATAGATAGAAACGGCTTGCCCTATAACTGTTCCGTGCCTGCGTCTGTGGAAATCACACAAAATTTCCGTCACTGTCGCATTTGAAAACTAGTGAAAAACATGTCAGTCCCAGCAAAATCCTGTAGTTAGCACACGTAAGGTAGCTGTCAGATGTGCCAATCCTAACATCCCTGACCAGAATTTCAGTAACAACCATAGATGCATGACGTCAGTTACGAAAACCGGCAATGTAGGCACAAAACTGCATCAGTACCAGCCATTGAGAATGAAATCTGGAAACCATAAACAGTAAGTGCAAGACTCAACATAAAACCGTCAGGGTCCACACTAAATATGCCACGTGAAATCCAAAGCTCACAGTGATGCACCAAGCACTCAGCTCATTAGCTGGGCGACTGATTATTTTGACTCCCAGTCCAGAAAAGGGGAATTAGCACCAGAAAAACTCTGCTGGAGCAAATAACTTTGAAATATAGTAAGCCGGCGATCTGTCTTATTGGACCAGAAGTAAGATAGATAGACAGACAGACAGATGGACGGACGGACAAGAAACCATACAAACACCAGACATGATAAGAAAGCGTAAGTTCATGTAGAAAGAAAAATTATTAACAAACATAGGAGAGTTGAACTCACCAAGATCCCAACTAGAATCACCGCCACAAAGTATCCTGCGATAACTATCCAATCGCCGTAATGTAGACGTTCTTGTGCCATCGATCTAACCAATGAAGGGAACAGGCTCTGCTTTGTGTCCGACTCCTAACAATCAGTTCAAAAAATGTCTCATAGGTCGCTTAGGAAAAACAATTAATTAATAGTTTTTTAAGCCGGTTTAAGAAAGATGCTTTAAAACCACAACGTACGGCTAATCCCAGTGGCACGGGGTTACACTCTAGTCACTGAGGGACTGGATTAAATCTTGTGGAGTGTTAACCAATCAAGAGAGAAGCCTACAACAACACGACTTTCCAGCAAGACACAGGTCATGCCATCAACAGCTGGTTAGGGCACGCTACCGGTATCAGGTTATGTCCCCTGTTTTTCGAGGGCGGGTAAGCCAAGCTACCAAATGTCAGTGACACGGATTTCGCCACGAGTGTGATCGGCTTGTGTGAAGCCAGCATCATCAGGCTTTTCTTTACAAGTCCAAATTAGGAACGCTAGTACAATGAGCTGAAACGAACTCTGAAATTCTTCCATGTGTCCCATGTAAATAGATAGGTCAACTTTTTAAAAAATGATTATTGACAATTCTGTGTTTTTGGCCACCTGTACGGCAGGTAAAGTTTTTAATGGTTGGGTACTTGACTAGTCGTCGTTTCTGGCTTTTAAGTTACTTAGTTAATCCGAGATACCTGGTTCGTTTCTAGCTGCAGCCGATTTAGCAGCAGAGCGCTCTGCTTTCGTTTCGACAATCATATCCAGAGCTGACTGTTAGGAATAGAAAAAAAAAAGATCCCTTTTCACGCCTTAGGCGCATCGGGCATATGAGACGAGCATCCCATGTTTTACAGACCAATCGACCCTAGGTGGGTTATTTGGTCAGCATTTCGCCAGCCGTCTTTACTTTCACAGAACAGCCACCCTGGTACCCATTTGAGGCTGGGTCGACCTGCGACGCTCCATACCATGATAAAAATCCACGCAGCCAGCAGTGGGCTTCGATCGTGTTAGGGTTGCAATGGCAAAAAACATCTAGTAAAAAAATCATAGGCCTTACAACCCCCCCCCCCCACCCCAAATTTTGGGGTTCTTCTTCAACGTCCTGTACACTGTAAAGCAAACCCAGGTAACCAGTGTTTAACTTCTTAATTGGAGAGCTGCTGTAGTATATATATGATTTCACTTTTCACCTGTAGAGGACTGCATGTCTCACCAGCCAGAGGGTATTCTAATTACGGCTTTAGCAGGGGTGCGGGTTGAACGGTGTATCCAGGATTTATCCTGCAGCATAGGTCTGAGATTCTTGAAGTAACAGGGTGGATAAGACAATACGGGAGCAGCCTGGAGAGGAGAACACATAACAGCGATAGTGACATTTTAAATTCGTCTAGATCTTTTACACACACAGCATGGACAGTTGTTTGTAAATGTTTGCACGCCCCAGTTTAACTACTTTATAAAAATGAACTGGATATCTGACCTGTATATAATATATATATATATATATATATATATATATATATATATATATATATATATATATATATATATATATTCACTGGCATTCAAAAAGTGACTCCTTGAGTCACTGGGCGTCAAAGTTTCAGGTCGCAGTCCCAGAAGGGGATGCTGAAAAATGGGAGTGGAGGATAAACCAACTATTTGGCACGAACAGGACAGGACATATCCGGGCAATGCCTGGTGTACTTTGTGTTTTCTTCCTTTCATTATCTCCTCCTCTCGGCTGTTACCTGAAAGTTTAACCACTCTGAAATGATATTTCACACACTATTTCAGTCGCACAAAGCGACTAATTAGGAATGTTTACTTTGAAGTCGGAATGCATCTGCCTCAGAGGCAAGGAACCGATATTCTGCATACAAATAAGTCAAATCTGTAAAACAATAGTGCACGCAAAAGTCAAGTTCTGGAACAGGACCAAAGTCCAGAAGTGGACGAACATCCAAAACTTTTCAGAATCGGAGTTTTAGCTGGTGAACGCTAAGCATAATAATAATATTAATAATAATAATAATAATAATAATAATAATAATAATAATAATAATAATAATAATAATAGTAATAATAATAATAATAATAATTTTCAGAATAATAAGAGTCATGTGGAGACTGGCACAGAATAATCCACGATCAAAGGCATGAAGAAGGGTCATTTACGCACCAGCGAATGTTAATTCAACTCACTACATTCTTGGAAATTGTTACTGTTATAAATACTTAACGCTGAATCTTCTCCTTCTTCTATCGTCTGTTTTGTCCCGTTAGCTTGCAGTTTAACAGATTACCAACAGTTGAGCCAGGACGCACTCGGGTACTTGGTATGCTGTGATGGTGGAAAGTCTTAAGCAAGTGACGCCATCAATCTATGTAACTCTAGACCTCCATCTACATCTTGGTGTTTCAATTTTATTAGTGTAGGCTCTCGCTGTCGGCTTCGTTGGATTCATTCTCATTAAGAGGCCGAATCATTTAAGTCCTTGTTTCTCAATAAATTTATCGAGGGCTTTTGTTTAAGTAGTTCTCCCAATGTCTTCATTTCTCACAAGACATCCTCTGGTTTTGTTTGTGACCTTTCTAAAACATCTTATCTTACAGGAGGTTAATTTTCTGACCTGTTCTTTTGTTTATGTCCAGGTCTGAACTGGTAACCTCAAGCTGGAATAAAGATTCCATGTATAGTTTGTCTTTTCATCTCTGCTGCGATAGCCGTGTGTTTCAAGTTTAGGGTAAGCTGATTGGTAATGTTGCTAACTTGTTGGATTCATTCTGTCATGCCGTTATGTGTCACAAGGAGTTTGCAGTCCAGTCCTACATTTCGCTATATCCTGTGCAATCCTCTGGATATCATGGATATAATCCAGTCCAGAACCTTTGGTATCCTACAGCAAAGTTTATCTTGGGTTAGTCTTGGGTTAGTCTTAGACGCCCTCGTTTCCTTATCATACTTGTTTCTAATTTCAGTGCCTGTTTGATGAGTCTCAGCCTTTTTTTCTTCATGATGTGCCCAATGTATTCTTGCCTTCTTATTCGTATCAGTGATGATACTGGCGATTTTCCGGGCATTCATCTTATTTCTTCGTTTTTCTTCAGTTCATCAAATTTAGAGTTCGTCAACTTCTATAGACGTTTGTTTCTGAATGCATTTAACTTTCGTTCCGCATTTTTAGAGGTTCTTCAACTTTCATTGAGAAATGTTAAAATGGAAATAACCTTATAATTAAAACATCTTAATGAGACAACAGGGACTACATAAATGTTTGGAACAGTATCTTTTAGTACAGCAGTAGGGCAGGGCACAATGAGTACATATTTGGAACAGTATCTGTTAGTACAGCAGTAGGACAGGGCACAATGAGTACATATTTGGAACAGTATCTGTTAGTACAGCAGTAGGACAGGGCACAATGAGTACATATTTGGAACAGTATCTGTTAGTACAGCAGTTGGGCAGGGCACAATGAGTACATATTGGGAACAGTATCTGTTACTACAGCAGTAGGACAGGGCACAATGAGTACATATTGGGAACAGTATCTATTAGTACAACGGTTGACCAGGGCACAATGAGTACATATTTGGAACAGTATCTGTTAGTACAACAGTTAACTAGGGCACAATGAGTACACATTTGGAACAGTATCTGTTAGTACAACGGTTAACTAGGGCACAATGAGTACACATTTGGAACAGTATCTGTTAGTACAACGGTTAACTAGGGCACAATGAGTACATATTTGGACCATCATCTGTTAGTACAACGGTTGACTAGGGCACAATGAGTACATATTTGGACCATCATCTGTTAGTACAACGGTTAACTAGGGCACAATGAGTACATATTTGGAACAGTATCTGTTAGTAAAACAGTTAACTAGGGCACAATGAGTACATATTTGGAACAGTATCTGTTAGTACAACAGTTAACCAGGGCACAATGAGTACATATTTGGAACAGTATCTGTTAGTACAACGGTTGACTAGGTCACAATGAGTACATATTTGGACCATTATCTGTTAGTACAACGGTTGACTAGGGCACAATGAGTACATATTTGGACCATTATCTGTTAGTACAACGGTTGACTATGGCACAATGAGTACATATTTGGAACAATATCTGTTAGTACAACGGTTGACTAGGGCACAGTGAGTACATGTTTGGAACAGTGTCGGAAAGTAAAACAATCGTCTAGGGCTCAGTAAGTACCTATTTGGAACAGTATATGTTAATACACCAGCTCGTTAGGGCATTCTAAGTAAGTAAATATTTGAAACAATATCTGTTAGTACAACAGTTAGGCAAGACACAATAAGATAAGAAAAAATGCCTTACGCATCTACGGAGAAAATCATAGCCAGTTGTTTAGTAATGAAAGATGGACCAAAGAAATAAAATGACTTAGTGCGAATTATTCAGACAGAAAGTTAATTAGCCACGTAGAGTGAGTCGCCTGGGACAGACCGAGTTAATACGCATTCATTTGTTTTAAAAGGACATTCAGATACGGGCTATAATTAAGTGTATCCAGCAGAAATGGTGTCAGGCAGGAGTGCGAGATATCCAGCCACTGACTGGGTGGATTGCCGACAATATAGGCCAAACAATTCTAGAATGTGACAGAGCAATCAACGAAGGGATTACAATGGATAAATCAGTTAGAAAGTCAGGAAGCGTGAAGCTACAGGTAACTGGGAGGAGGTGGTCCTGAAGAAAAGGCCCTGTCCAAATCCTAACTTGCTTGGCTGGTCACATCTCAAGGACAAGGGACGACTTCTGACTCAATACGTCAGTTTCTCGTGTCAGTTCCAGGGCCACATTGAGGAAGGTGTACGGGGGAGAATACACTCACCACCCCTCAGTAAGTATGCTGTATAAGGCGTTAATTCAGGATGTGCTGAAATAGGTGCAGATATCGCAGCCTAGCTTTAAACCACCGCACGTCATGTTAACCGAACTTTTAAAACGAACGCAGAAGAAGACGCTAGGTCAAACTAGTACGTTTGTCTACCAAGGCGGTGGCCACTAGTGC